GTGGCTGTTTTCCACTGTGGAGTCACTGCTCTGGGCCCCAGGAGAGCCAAGCAGGTGGGGTTTCAGGTCTCTGGCCCCTTCCGGCTCCAGCTGGAGCCAGCTCGTGCTTATTGTGTGGCACTTGGAGCTCCTTGGAAGATGTTTCTTAGGTTAGGGGCTCTGGCTGGAAGGAGGTGGCAGACCCGTGCACCTATGCTTGGCATGGGCGGCCACAGGCTTTGGGAGGACATCCTGGCCGGGCCACTTCCTTGCTAGTCGCCCACCTCACTGAGCCTGTTTGCTGTTGCAAACCCAGCACTTACTGAATGCCTACTGCGTGCCAAGCACTGTTCTGGATAGAATGCTGTTCGAGATAACGTCCCTACTCCTGCGATGTTTTCGTACTGGGGAGGACAGTCGGTAAATAAACGAGAAGCTTCCAGGTCATGAGAAGGGTTACGATGATATGCTAGGGAGGACCCTGGGCCTCTCTGAAGAGGTGACATTTAAGCTGAGAGTTGAATGACCACAAGGAGCCACCTGAGGGAAGGGGATTGGAGGTAGATGATGAGCAGGTGCCTAGAGGCCCCGAGGTGGCAGTGAGCTGCCTCACTGAGACACAGGCATGCCCGGAGGGGGGTGGGTGGAGGAGAGCGCTTGGTGAGAACTTTGATTTCGTTATGAATCGATGGTGGTTCTAAGTGGGAGCAGGACAAGGCCATCTTCCTGGTTTAATAAATAGCCCTCTGGCCGTGGTGTGGAGGGTGGATGGTGAGGGTGGGAGTGGGAGCCAGCGCTGGTGCATCCCCAAGAGATGAGGCTGGCTTGGCGGGAGGGTGGCCGGCTGGGAGAGGAGGATCTGGACTCCAACAACCACGTGGTTCTGAATTTTGATTGGCAGGGACAGCACTGGGCCAGCACACTGAACGTGTGCTCTGTCACTGTCCCCTCTGTGATGTTGTTTGGCCACAGAGCCCCCAGGGTGTGCTGTTCAGGCCCACGGGGGACCCCAAAAGGGGCACCCTGAAAAGGAGACCCAGGTGCTGGCCCAGAAGCCTATCTGTGTGCTTTGCCTTCTTGACAGGAGTCAATACTGGCGGGCAGTCTGGGTTCAGTTACTGACTGCCGGGGCCTGGAGACTTCCCTAAACAGCCAGGTGGCCGAGCTGAGAATGCAGTGCTTTTTCTCCGTTGTAAAGCAGGGACATGGGACCCTTGCTGGCCAGTGCCCAGACTTGGGCATCCTGGAATAATAGAAAGCAAACAGGCTGTATGTCGCCTGCCACCTCCAGCACATCACTCCTGAGATGGGACTCTTCACCCTCCCTCCCTCCCAGCCCACCCTGCGAGCCGGTCTGTTGGCTGCGTCCCTAGGGCAGCCAGCTGCCTGCGAAGCAGTCTGTGTTTGTTAGCTGGTTCCTTTGTTTCAACATGTTGCCGAACGCCAGGCTATAGCTCAGAGGTTTTTCGGGAGGCTGACAGGTCTGAGTACTTTATCAGTCTCCACCTCTGTGAACCTGGGCACGTTCTTTAAGGCTTGAGAGTCAGTTTCTTTTTCTGTGAAATGGGGCAGTAATAGTAGAGTGACTGAGAATTCAGTGAGATGAGCCACACACAGCTCCTTGCCCAGTGCTCAACATATGACAAACCAAAAAAACCCAAACCCATTGCCTCTGAGTCAATTCCGACTCATAGCAACCCTGTAGGACAGAGTGGATCTGCCCCATAGGGTTTCTGAGGCTGTGATCTTTACGGGAGCAGATCACCAGATCTTTCTTCTGTGGAGCAGCTGGTGGATTTGAACCACTGGCCTTTCGGTTAGCAGCTGAGTGCTTAATCACTGTGCCACCAGGGCGCCTTCAACATATGACAAGCACTTAATAAATTGTAGCTGATGTTATTATTATCATTACTGTGGTTGTTGATGTTGTCATCTGGTGACAAGCTCTAGTACCGCTACCCGGTTGCTTTTATTAACAGAATAAGATCACCTGAGGAAGGACAGTGCTTAACCCCAGGAGTGACATAAGTGGCGAGCTTTTGCCTCATGGTGGCAGGTGGTGGGGTTTAGAGCTGGGACAGCCAGAGTTGCTCCTGTCTCCACTGGGGGCCAAGGAGCAGTTGGCATGCATTTTAGTCTTAAAGGCCTTCTGCTGGGCTCTAGGTGAAGAGGGAACTAAAGCAGGGCAACGTGTATTGTTAGGTGCTGTTGAGTCGGTTCCGACTCGTAGCGACCCTGTATACAACAAATGAAACACTGCCCGGTCCTGCGCCATCCTCACAATCGTTATGCTTGAGCCCATTGTTGCAGCCACTGTGTCAGTCGAGCTCGTTGAGGGTCTTCCTCTTTTTTGCTGATCCTCAACTTTATCAAGCAAGATGTCCTTCTCCAGGGACTAGTCTCTCCTGATAATATGTCCAGAGTATGTGAGATGAAGTCTCACCATCCTTGCTTCTAAGGAGCATTCTGGCTGTGCTTCTTCCAAGACAGACTTGTTTGTTCTTCTGGCAGTCCGTGGTGTATTCAATATTCTTCACCAACACCATAATTCAAAGGCATCAATTCTTCTTTGGTCTTCCTAATTCTTTGCCTAGCTTTTGCATGCATATGAGACGATTGAAAATACCATGGGTTGGGTCAAGTGCACCTTAGTCCTCAAAGTGACATCCTTGCTTTTCAACACTTTAAAGAGGGCTTTAGCAGCTCATTTTCCAATGCAATTTGCCCAAACCTGTCCACCATGGGTGACCCTGCTGGCCTTTGAAATACAGGTGGCATAGCTTCTAGCATCACAGCAACACGCAAGCCACCGTAGGATGACAAAGTGACAGAGGCATGGCGGAGAACAATGTTAAGGGGATGTCAGAGGAGCTCAGTCTTTATGCAGGAGTATCACAACACCTTTGCTCACTCTGTGGGCATCTGTAGTAGTGTGAATTGGGCGTGCCTGTTGTTAAGAGTACGGCAGTTTTCAAAGCCGTGATGGAGATGGGGCAGTTCTTGGCTCCCCATTAGCCAGGGAGATGAGTCAGCCCTGTACGTTCTCATGGCCTCGCAGGAAGATGACTGAGCCCTGCTGCTGCCCACCTCCCCATGCCCAACTTCCGGGGCCCAGGCAGGGTATGGGGGCGGGCAGTGGTCTAAGGGTTGGTTTCTAGCCCTTGTTCTTTGGCCCTGAGTCAGTAGTGTGACCGAAATTAAAGAAAGACGGGCGTTTTCTGCAGGCGACCCGGTCGCTGACTCCTGGGTGTGCTCTGGTCCCGCTGAAGGGTCTGTGAGGCAGCCCTCCCCACCTTGAGTGCCAGGAGCAGATTCTCTAGCACAAATGTGCTAGGATGAGGTCACAATGGCAATGTTTTCTGGGAAAGGGCGGGGAAGAGGAAGAGAAAAAGAAACCAGTAGCAGTGTCATAGTTTGAGTTTATAAGAAATAGCTCCGTACAGTAGATAAGGGGTAACTTTGGCGAAGGGTAAGACAGTGCACAATACTGGGGAAGCCAGCACGACTTGTACAAGGAAAGGTCATGGAAGCTCCACAGACACATCCAAACTCCCTGAGGGACTGAACTGCTGGGCAGAGGGCTGTGGGGACCATGGTCTCGGGGAATATCTAGCTCAATTGGCATAACACAGTTTATAAAGAACATGTTCTACCTTCTACCTTGGTGAGTAGCATCTGGGGTCTTAAAAACCTGTGAGCGGCCATCTAAGATACTCCACTGGTCTCACCCCTTCGGGAGCAAGGGAGAATGAAGAGAACAGGATACAAGGAAAAGATTAGTCCAAAGGACTGATGGACCACAGCTACCTCGGCCTCCACCAGACTGAGTCCAGTACAGCTAGATGGTGCCCGGCTACCACCACTGACTGCTCTGACCGGGATCACAACAGAGAGTCCCGGACAGAGCTGGAGAAAAATGTAGAACAAAATTCTAACTCACAAAAAAAGACCAGACTTACTGGCCTGACAGAGACTGGAGAAACCCCGAGAGTATGGCCCCTGGACACCCTTCTAGCTCAGTAATGAAGTCACTCTCAAGGTTCACCATTCAGCCAAAGATTAGACAGCCCCAAAAAACAAAACGAGACTAGTGGGGGCACAGCAGTCCAGGGACAAGGACTAGAAGGCAGGAGGGGACAGGAAAGCTGGTGATAGGGAACCCAAGGTTGAGAAGGGACAGTGTTGACATGTCATGGGGTTGTTAACCATTGTCATAAAACAATATGTGTATTGTTTAATGAGAAACTATTTGTTATGTAAACCTTCATCTAAAAGTACAGTTAAAAAAAAAAAAAGAAATAGCTCTGTAGCATCTCTTGGAATTCTGTTGGATCCCTCTAGAAAGGGAGGAAAGCCTCCTCTGCTGGCCCTGCTCTCAGCCCCAGGCCCCCACTGACTGGTGTTGGCAGGGGGCTGCGGACCAGAGAAAAGAACTGGCTGGAAACCCCAGTCTTTCTACCAAAGCCTGCAGGCTGCTTCCCGGGAGCAGAGAATAGGGCAAATGTTTATCATAAGGAAATACTATTGGTGATAAAAGCATCCCATGGGAATACACCTGGGGCAGGAAGCCGGGGGTGTGGAATCTCCCACACGGGGCTGGTGAGACTGTTCCTTTAAATCGGATTCTCCTCTGGGAATTGCTGCAGCCTGGGGGGCGGGGAGGGATGCTGGCTGAGGATGGAGCCGCCTGAAGGATCTTCCCCTCCGGAGCCTTCCCGCCCAGGCAGCCTGCCCGTGACGCACTTGCTCGCTAGCTCCCCAGCTTTCTCCTCTCCCACCGAAGCTGCTGATTCATCCGCAGGCTATCGGCCGCTCCACAGCTGGAGCAGGGTTCTCAGGCTGGAGCAGACCCCCTAGGAAGTGTCCTCCTGGGAGGTGTCCTCCAGTCTCTCTGGATGCCCCATGGGTGGGGGTCGGTAGACAGGGTATCCTTAAACCCCAGCAGATGTCTGACTGGAGGGGCATGTCCAGAGGGCAGGCTTGGCGGGTCTCTGCTCATTCCCCTGTGGCCTCCCCCGCAGGGTGCTTCAGGGATGACCGCATCGCCTTCTGGACCTGGATGTTCTCCACCTACTTCCTGGAGAAGTGGGCCCCACAGCAGGACGACATGCTTTTCTACGTGCGCCGGAAGCGGGCATTCGCGGGCAGCGAGGGCAGCACCGACGGGGGCAAGGTGAGTGGCCCCTCCAACCCGCGCCCCCATGCGGGGAACATGGGCTCTGTGTACCCCTCGTGCATGGCAAAAGAGATGAATGTTTATTGGGCACCTACTGCATGCCAAGGGGCCGTGTGGGGACAGTCACGCCTGCTTTCTGATGAGCTGTGCGGAGCATGCTGGACACGTTATTAATCTCCACCAGGACCTGGAAGGCGCCATTGTGACCTCTCTTGTCGCTTTGGGGGAAACCTTGGCTGCTAACCAAAAGGTCGGCTGTCCAAATCTACCAGCTGCTCCTTGGAAACCCTGTGGGGCAGTTCTCCTCTGTCCTATAGCATCACTGTGAGTCGGAATCCACTCGATGGCGATGGGTTGTAGCTTTGAGGAAACCGAGCTCCAGAGACGATCTGGCCAGCATGTCCCGATTAGTTGGTGGTAGGGTAGAGCTTGACCCAGAGCCCAGTGTCTGCCCCTGGCCATGGGCTGGGGGAGCTAGCTTGACGATGATGACGATGATGGCATAAACGCTACCATCCATTGCGCCCTTGCCACGTGCCATGCCAGGCCCTTGACTTCATCTCCTTTGCCCACCAGCTCCCCGACAGGGTGTTGTGTCCCCTTTTTACGGGGCTCAGGGAGGGGAGATGGCTTGCCTGAGGGTGCTCCTGCACCAGATTGAGGTGTGTGGGGGAGTTCACAAAACAAACTGCATGGTTCCTTCTGTTTTTCAGAAGCTCTAGCAGTCTGTAAGATTTTTAAACAACCCATGTGTCAGGCGTGGAAATGCATTCTTTTCTTTTAGAAGCAAGGGGGCGTGGGGCGTGCTGTCCCTCCGGTTCCAAGTCAAGTGCCCTGGAGCTCGGTGACCATGGTTCATTAGCTGTGGCTCGCACCGTGGACTCTTAAACACCCTTCCCCTGCGTGTGCCTGTTCTTTGAGCCCAGACACGTGCAGAATACCCAAAACCAAACCTGTCGCTCTCGAGTCAGTTCCAACTCATAGCAGCCCTATAGGACAGAGTAGAGCTTCCCCATAGGGTTTCCAAGGCCGGAATCTTTACAGAAGCAGATTGCCAAGTCTTTTCTCCTATGGAGCCGCTGGTGGCTTGAACCACTGACCTTTTGGTTAGCAGCTGAGTGCTTAACCACTGCGCCACCAGGGCTCCTTACGTGCAGAATAGGTCCAGTGCCTGCTGCAAAGGGGGCACCATGACTCCCTGCCCGGCTGGCCTCTGTGTGCCAGCAGCTGTATGTCTGGTGTGGCTGGGCCGTGTGACATTTGAGGTGACCCCGGGGCTGGCTGTGTGATGAAACTTGAGACCCAGGGGGTGGCCTGCTGTTCCCTTGGGGTTCCTCTGGCGCCTGCAGCAGCCGGCCACTGCGTGACTGAGACACTGGGAACCTGTGACCTTCTTGGGGCAGCGGACACTGAGCAGGGAAACGGACCACGTAGAGCCAGCCCATGTGGGCAGTAGTGACTGCGAAGGGTGGGCTGTGGTCGGCAGAGGCTTCTGGGTGAGGCAGGTGGTTAGGAAGGGGAAGCTACCCCCAGCAGAGGGGCCCTGAAAGCCTGTAAAGTCATCCTCATGGGGCGCATGCCGTAGTCCTGTTTGACTGAGTATAGAAACGCGGGGAGCACAGGAAGACGAGCGGGGGATCGTCGAGGGCCAGGTCATGGCAGACCCTGAAGGTCCTGCCCCCGAGTCTGGGTTCCAGGCCCCAAGCCTGGGAAGCCTGAGCCTCACAAACGGGGGAAGGACATTTTATGAGCTCTTTGGCAGTGGGTGGGGGAAAGACTGGGGGTGGTTAGGGAGAAGCAGGAGGCTGGTCAGGGGCTACTGGTGGAGGAGGGGAGGGAGCGGGCACGGGGATGGAGAGGAAGGTCAGGTAGATACCGGGAAGCTAAGCACAATGAACCAGCAGGACTGCAGTGATCTAATGTGGGCCTTGGGAGGTCCAGCCTAGAGCCGGGTGTCTGACTTGCCTGGGGGAGTATGGTTCATTTACTGGGAGGAGGCGTGTACAGAGGAGGAGAGGAGCTCAGTCTTGGGCGGGCTGAGTTGGAGGAGCCGGAGGACATGCAGACAGCGATGTCTGGTGGCCAGTGGATGGCTGTCCAGAATGGCTCAGAGATGCCGGGGTGGAGGGAGACATTAGGCCCCTCGGCACTGGGATGTCAGAGCGGCTAGGACTGAGCCTTGAGCTGGGAGACCACGAGGGTCTGGCCGGAGAGGTGGGGGCTGGGAGAAGCTGGTGTGGTGGGGCCCTGGGGCCTGAGGAGAAAGTCTGGCAGGATGAGAGGGGAGCGACCCACTGGGCTTGGTAATGGGAGGTGTGGAGGCCTCTGAGTGGGCAGGGTGCTCTCTGTGTGGGAAGAAGAGGAAGCCCCGTCAGTGGGCCTGGGTGACAGGTGTTGGTGGAGAGACCCCAGAGCCGAGTGCTCAGCCCCTTGTCGCCCCGCCCATGTGGGCTGTAGTCGGGAGACCAGTTTCTAGTCGGAATGCCGACCCCAGAGTTGGCGTGCGACTCTGTCATTCAGTCCCTTTCTGGGTCTCAGCCCCTCCTTCTGTTAAAAGGGGTTCGGGCCACAGGGCCCTAAGGCTAGGGCCCTCCCACTGTGGACCCCGGGAGGCTGGGCCCTTTGCAGTTGACATGACCACACGAGTCCCGTGGCAGTCGGGTGGCGGTGTCCCAGGCGCCTCACTGTGTGCCAGCCCCCGCTAGGAGCGTGTTCTCAAACCCTCAGCTCAGCTCTGGGGTGCAGGCACTGCAGCCACCCACGTTCACAGACAGGAAGCCGGAACTCAGAGGAGCAGCCACCAGCAGGGGCAGGGCTGCCCGACTCCTGGCTGGCCCACCACCCTGGCCTGACTCAGCAGATTCGGAGACACTTTTTTGCAAAATCTTGGCTTTTCCCCAGGGAGAAGTCGGCTGAGCCCAGCGGCCCTGAGCACAGGGCCCACCGGGGACGCACTGGGCGGGGCGGGCAGCACAGGTAGCGGCTAGTCATCAGGCTGGGGTGGCAGGAAGGCCGGGGGACAGCAGTGACGGAGGCCCCCCATGTGGAGGGACTGGCGCCGCAGAGGCAGGAAGGCCAGGGGCCCTTGTGGGCGTACAGAACAGCGGCCACACACGGCTGGGGACTGCGAGGCCCACCTGGCTGTGTGTGGAGGCAGGTGGGGACCGGGCTTTCTCCAGGACATGGACACGCGGGCACCTCGCCTGCGGGGGGTAGGGAGGGGGCACCTCAATGAGGGGAGACACCAGGCAAGCGTGGGGTGGGGGCGGGTGCCGGAGGCACGAGGAGGGGGCTGGACAGTCGTGTCCGGCATCTTTTCTCCCCACACCCCTCAAAGACCTAGTGAGGAGAAAGCCCTGCGCAGGCGCAGTGTGGCTGTGCTGCGGCGCCTGCGCACTGCGGGGCCGCTGCGGCAAGCCCCCGGTCCCTTCCCCACGCAGCTGCTGACCTGTCGCCATAGCAACCCGTCTGTGCTTCCTGCACCTGCTGTAGGAGGTGGGTGGTGGACCCGCGCTTGTCTGCAGCTCCGCTCCAGGAAGGGTCGGCAGCAGCAGTGCGGGTGGGCGCAGGATGCTGGACCGCAGGACCGGAGGCGACCGAGGGGATCCCAGCCTCCGCCGGGGAGGGGCGTTTGGATTCCTGCCCTCGGTTCGCACTGCTTTGGGGACAGAAAGCTCCCTGTTCCTGGCAGCCCTGCTTGTCTCTGGAAGTGAGGGGACCCGGCCTCTGCGTGAGGGCTTGTCCTGTGCTGGTGGCCCACACTAGTTGCCACCTTCTTGCTCAGCGACGCCCTCAGCAATCCTGGGTACAGATTATTCCAGGCCTACGTCACAGAAAACCAAAGCTCAGAGAGGGGAGGAATTTGTTCAGGGGTCTGTCAAGTGCGGTCACTCCCAGTCTCGCTCTGCTGTTGGAGGGGTTCAATTTCTTCAGCATAACATACGTACAGAAAAATGCAGAAACACCCGTACAGCGTGATGATTTTCCTCCAAGTGAACACCGCTGTAACCAGCCGGGATGACCAGACAGAACATGACAGAACCCCCGAGGCTGCCTCCAGTAACCGCCCTCCCCAAAGGGCAACCCCTGCCTGGAGGGCGTCCCTGTGGTGGCTGCTTTCCCTGTTCTTCTGGCTCATCCCCTGAAGTCACAGACTGTGCGCCCTGGGTCTGTAGTCTCCTCTTGGTCTCCTGTTTGAGATTCCTGTGTGTGACGCGGGTGGTTCTGGTCTATCCATTCTCACTGCTTCGTAACATTCCGTTGTATGGATAGACCACGCTGTGTGTCCACTTTTCTGCGGGTGGATATCGGGGCGTCCCCAGGTTGGGACCCGTCCGTGTGGTAGTGCATCCGGAACCTGCCTCCTGGTGCACGCCTGGACACTTTCTGACCGTCCAGCCTACCCTGCACGTCCGTGTGTTCTCTTCTTCTCCTTCACTGAGGCAGAGAGTACTTAGCATCGACTTTCTGCAAAGCAAAGAGCTGACGTTCTCTCGGAGGAGACCAAGCAAGATGATCCCAGAGAGTGATAAGTGCAGGGAGAAAGAAAACAAACAGCACAACAGGATGGGACGGGGTGGCTGTGGTCGTGTGAGGCACGAGGAGCCACACGGCTGTGGGGAGTGGAAGCCACCCTGCCTCTCCAAGGGACACGCTGGGGCACGGGGGGCCTGCCCCTCTTTCCATGGGCTCTGCCTCCCGGGTGCACAGGCCTTAGCCTCTGCCAGTGGTCCAGTATCGCCCAGGAGGGGGTGGCTCATTTCTCCAGGGGGCCTGGACTGGAACCAGGACGGAGGCCGGGGCAGGACAGCTGCATCAAAGCCGCACTTGATTTTTCTTGACGCCTCTTAACCCCTGGGATGCTGTACTTTCGCTTCATCCTGCATTTGTTATTTGATAGTCAACAAATTCGATCCTCACCTGTTAAAATTCCACTAATTGTGGCTAAGCACTCAGCTGCTAACCGAAAGGTTATCGGTCGAACCCACCAGCTGCTCCTCAGGAGAAAAGACGTAGCGATCTGCTTCTCTAAAGATTACAGCCTAGGAAACCCTATGGGGCAGTTCTGCTCTGTCATGTGGGGTCGTCCTGAGTCGGAATCAACTCGATGGTGCCTATTGACAATAACAACATACCTTTAATGTTATCAGCCCAGACTGTGGTGCCCACCGGGAGCTCGATAGATGTCAGTGTCACTGTTATCATTGACCCTTTACAAATATTCTCTCTTAATTGTCACAACAGCTTTGAGAGGTAGAATTTTTAGCCCATTGTAAAGGTGAGAAAACTGAGATGCAGAGAGAATTGCTTAACGCCAGGTCAAACAGCTAGAAAACTGAGAGCAGGACTGGGGTCAGGGAGCTGCGGCTGGCTGGGGCATTCATGTCTGCCCTGTGCCTGCAGCTGGCTGACGCGGAGCCCGAGGTGGAGGTGGACATGTACCGGGGGGCCCTGGCCCAGGCCTCTGGGCGTTCACCTCTGCCCTGTGCCCCACAGCTGGCTGAGGCGGAGCC